GTGACATCCCACACCTCCCAGCATCCCACATCCTGTAGGAACGTGCACCCCACAGCATCCCCTGGCCTCCTGCACCCCGTGAAATCCCCCACCCCAGAGCATCCTGCACCATCCTGCATCCCACAGGATCCTATGGGATCACAGACCCTGCATCATCCTGCATCCTACAGCATCCCACATCATCCCACAGCATCCCACAGCATGCCACGGCATCCCACAGGATCCTATGGGATCACGGACCCTGCATCATCCTCCATCCTACAGCATCCCACATCATCCCACAGCGTCCTACATCCTATGGGACCATGGACCCTGCATCCCCTACATCCCACAGCACCCTGTGGGACTGTGGATCCTGCAGAACCCGCACCCCAGGGACCCCTCCCCACCCCAGAGACCTCTCCCCACCCCAGGGACCCCTCCCCATCCCAGGGCACGGAGCCCCCGCAGTCCCCCTGATCCCAGGACCCTCCTGTGGCCCCCAGCCCTGGCAGGATCGGACATGGGGACACACTGGGGACACACTGGGGACACACCGGGGACACAGGGACACACCGGGGGCTCTGTGCCAGCGCTGAACCCGCAGAGCTGTCCTGGGGGGTCCCCTCAGTTCTGGGGGTCCCACTGAGCCCCAACCCCGCAGTGACCCCAGGGCTGGACACTCACTGTCCCCATGGTGGGGTCTGGGGGGGATGGGGGTGTCCCTGTCCCCGGGGGGTCACAGTGGGGGCGGGGCACAGCAGGACACGCCGGGGGTCCCGGGGGGAGGGGGGCACTGAGCTGAGCCCCCGGGGATTAACCCCCCCTCTGCCGCCGCCCCGTGAAATAGGTCACCCACAGATCCGGGGCTGGCAGCGCTGGGAACCCCGGGGGCGGGGGGCGGGGGGCTCTGCCGGCGCGGACCCCCCACCCCCGGGCACTCACGTAGTCATGGAAGGCTTTGGCCTCGCTGGAATGCTCGCAGGTCTCGCGGCGGTCCGGGGCGGCGCAGTACAGATCCCAAAAAACGCTGGGAAAACGGGGTGGGGGGACGGGGGCAGCGGGTGAGGACCCCCCCCAATTGTCACCCCCTCCTCAGAGCCCCACGGCAGCGCTGGGGAGGGGGACCAGCGCCGTGTCCCCCCCTCGGCCGGGGCCTCCCGGCTCCGCCGCTGTTTTCCCTGGAAACGGTCGCTACGGCCGGAGCCCAAATTCCTGGGACTTTACATCAGGAGGGCCGGGATGAGGGGGGGTCCCTGCCCGCGCCCCCCGCCCGCGCTGGGACAGCAGCGGGGCCCGGTGCCCCSTCCCCGGTTTGGGGGTGCTGGCCGGGTGCCAGATTAACCCCCCGTTAATGAAGCGACCCCCCCAAATCACCCACGGAGCAGCCGCTGCCCCCCCGGAGCCCCCCAGGTGATGCCCACCCCCACCCCCATCCCCATCCCCCCCTCGGGGGGCTCCGCGCCCCCCCAGCTCCGCTCGGTGCCAAATTGGATCCATCTGGAGGAGCCGGGCGGGGAAAGGGGGGGCCCCCAAATCGCTGATGGGAAAAGCAGAGGGAGGGACAGGTTTATGGGGTACGAGGTGACGCGGTGCCACAATTGGGGAGGGGGCGATTCCCGGCCCCTTTTCCAGCCCCCCCGCTCTGCAATGGGGGGGTCCCAGCCCCCTCCCCACCCCCAGGACCCCCACTCACCACCACCAGGAGTGCAGGAAGCCGGGGGGCTCCCCCAGAGTGATGTTCTTCTCCCATCGGATCTGCGGGGAGGGACACGGGGAGGGGGTGTCAGCACCCCCCAACCCAGGACAGGGCTCCGGGACCCCCCGATGGGCGGCGGGGGAGGGGTCCGGGGGTGCCCCCTCCCCTCTTACCTCCGACAGGAAGGTCTGCGCGGATTTCTGGGCCCCCACGTGCAGCAGGTACTCGTAGACGTAAAGTGCCAGCCTGGGGGGGACAGGACGGGGACACGGCCGGGGGGTGTCAGGGACCCGCCACCCCCAGGGGACACCCCCAGGGGACACCCCCTGTCACCCACGGACCCCAGGGACGGTCAGCGCGGGGCCCCCGGCAATTAGTGCGCAATTAACGAAGGAGATTCGGTGTCACCTCCGTGCGGGGGACCCCCATGGTGACACCGAGTGACTCCCCCTGGTGACACCGAGTGACTCCCACGGGTGGCACCGCCCGCCCCCCACAGGAAGCAGCTCCCGCCGCTGGGGGGGCTCCAGGACAGGTGACACAGGTGACACAGCCACCACAGGGGTGACAGCCACCACGGGTGTCCCCGGGCAGGGACAGTTCGGTTCCCGGGG